TCCTTTGATTTAGGACCAAGTACTTTCTCTAGCTCAGTGACGTATCGCAGTAGTTTTTGTAACACTAATAAAATAATAAAAAGATATATACATGACCAAGAGACGATGACATGCCTTATTTAGCAAACACGTCATACTCACTCTTTCCGAGACTCTATTGCTGCATTCACCAGACTAGAAGAATAAAAAGTTAGGTAATGTCAACATGTGATGACAGCCAGGTTTCGTACCTTACTTTTACCAAAAGTTGAAGGAGTTCTCAGGCACTTTCAACGACCTACATGTAACTTTTTTATTTATTATTTTTTTTAGGAGACACCATCAAAACACAAATGCGATGTAATGCACTACAAAGCATATCGTAAAATTCCGCTAATAAGCGCCCCCCTCCCCGCCCCATCACACCCCACCTTACCTGGAAAAGAAGAACTTGTTTTATGATTGATATCGTTATATTAAGCGAGTTTTGCATGAGCTTCACTTGTCTGCACTTACTGTTTTCTCATGCGAAACATAATTTTCAAATGAAAACCAAATATTTTTTTTCAAAACGAGAGCCAAGGCTTAACGGTATAAGAAGGTCACACAGAAATACTATATCTTAACTGGTTCATAATATATTTTAGATATTTTAGATTGAAAGAATAGTGAATCTACATGTATTACAGGTAAAAACGAGTAATATCCAGTACTTTGAAGTGTCCAGTTCATTTTTCAATGACATTCGACGTCTTAAAGTTTGATTCTTGAATTCAAGACCTTTCACTGGGCGTACCAAACACCACCCTATCTAAATGAGTTAATTTCCACACGGGCTAGCTGCGGGAAACCAAATTAAGAAACTTTAACCAGGACCTTGAAGTGTCAAGTTCAATTTTCGATGACCTTCGCGGTCTTAAAGTTTGATTCTTGAATTCAAGACCTTTCACTGAGCGTACCACACAACACCCTATCTAAATGAGTTAATTTCCGTACGGGCTAGCTGCAGGGAACCAAATTAAGAAATTACATAAATGCANTGCTTAATAGTAAAAATCAGTCAAAGTATCAGTCTGTTACCAAGATTAAATTAAGAAAACCAGCCCTTTTGTGCGTGAAAAAAAAAAAAAAAAAAAAAAGCAAGGAGAGGAAGAGCTTTTGACACTAGCTCCATGTATGGAATAGAGCGTTTAATTATAATAACACAGACTTGATTACTTATATAAAAGAACTCTTGACTCACTCATCAAATGGAATTGTCTCCGTTGATTTGCCAACTTTCATTAATCTAAACAAAATACATTAATTGAGAAACAAATCAGAGGAGTGAACGACTTATGGGAAAGAGACTTCATTTACAACAAAGAACATCGTCGCTGCAGATCTGTGTAAATGAAATGAGAAAATAATTTAACTCAAAACATTCAAAAAAGCTGTTACCCACCTTTCGACCTTGGACTGGTTCATGCAAAACAGAGAAGAACAACAAGTTAAAAACAAAATCAACAAAAATATGTATATGTTATTGAATGAGTGCGAGGTCCGTATAGTTGGCTTTACTGGGTTAATAAAATGGTTCCATTCGATTGAACCACCGTCAAATATTGAGACTACGCGCAAAAGCCTGTAAAACACGTAACGATATACAAAGACATACAAACTAATAAATAAACGAATTGGAGACACACACAAAAACCGTCAATCCCAGTAGACCACATGCACCACACTAACAGTAACAGTGTAAAAAAAGATCGAGAAAATGTTCCACTGTGTGGCTTCAGTTCAAAAGGTTGTTCCCACTAACACACGACCACGAAAACAAGTACATGTAACTGTAAGAAACAGCCGCTAGAATTCTTACCAAATAGCAGACAACAGACAACTGTCCGCACGTGGTGTTAAACGGCATGTCACGATCAGACACCACAGATGTGAGCAGGAACAGCTGAGGCGCCACACTGCTGTCTGTGTGAGACCAGCGACCTTCGAACTGATCCTGACAAAGTGATTACACA